ATTTGGTGATGATTAAGCCCACCAAAAACCCAGAATCGAAATAGCTGCTATAAGATGCAAAGAATTAGGAAAGCTGACTTTTACTTCCTTTTTTTTTATATTTCCTATTGGTTACAATTTGTTTGGCTGTTTATGCCTTGCAAGTTAAGTTATTTGAGGCTTACTAGGAGTAGGAAAATGTAGAGAGATGATATAAAAATGAAAAGCCTAGGTCAGAAAAAAAAAAAAAAGAAAAAAAAAAGGGACTTTTGATGACCCATTCATCAAGAGGAGAATACAACTCTAGGAGTTTGCGTGCGACGTTGTATTTCAAAGTTTCTTCTTTCACTCTTATGATTTTATTTTCTGTGTTTTTAGTTATGTTCATGTGTAACTAAACCTTAATCTAGGGCGGGGTTAAGCCCTAGCATAATGATATAGTACTGTACGTTTATTTATCCATTAATGTGATTTTGTGTTTGAACTTTTAATTGCCGAGTGTTATACTGGTTATGTGCTTTGATGCTTGATCACCATTATGGTATATGACTAAGTTATATGATGCGAAATTTAGTGAATGCCACACGGATTTTGAGTATGCTTCTTGCAATTAAAAGGTGTGATTACTTACGGTAAATGTCATGCCATAAGAATTACATGATTGATTTGGTTACTCATGCTCATCGTACTCTTCATGTTTATATCTAGCCTAAATGCCATAGGGAGATTGCATGTTGTAGGAATTATTCTAGCCTAAATGCCATAGGGAGAATAAATGTAAGGTAACCAATCTTCAATCTAGAATTACCTCTTAATGGATGAATGAACATAAGTGCTATATTGGATTGCTTGTGGTGGACGCCTAGCCTTAGTGTCTTATCTTCCTGATTTTCTCAACCAATTAATAATCCTTCAAAACTTTCTTCCCAATTTGTGTTTTATTTTATTCGCATTGAATCCAAAAATAATAATTCATTGATTTACAAGTGTTGAGGCCCAAAAAATCCACGATTCGGCCCAATGCAATACCTTACCAAGGAGAAGCCCGATTAGGGCACGCGAAAGTTCGTCATACGCGCTTGCACACATGCCATGCCAAGCAAATAAGCAACACGTCACGCTACAAGCTTAAGTGGGCCCAAGCCACTCAAATGCCCGGGGCTTGCTTGAGTGGGTTGTGGTATGGATGGTAACAAGTTATCATGGGGCCCATCGATGAGCCAAGAAATGGAAGTCTCGGGTCGCTTGGGGGCCTCGAGACTCAAGCCCATTTTCTTAGGCCCAAACATGGGTAAGCACAAGAAAGGAGATGGATCATTGCCTCAACCAAAATAGCCCATTAATCCAATAAACTAGTCAAAAAATAAGCCCATTGACCCAATTAGAATAAACTAGCCAAAAAATAAGCCCATTAACCCAATTAGAACAAACTAGCCAAAATAAAGCCCAACACTTGACAAAGCTATCCCATCCATTGGATAGATCTTGTGGTTGTCCCAAAAGCCAACATAATTAGGATGAAACCAGCTCAAGCCTTGGCACTCAGTTTGAAGGCAAAACCACCAACGAACGTTGGAAAGCTACACGTGAGTGGCTGCTGGGAACAAGTTCCAAATGCAAGAATTCAAGAAACCAACGGATCTTGGCACGCAGGGGAGGACGCCATCTCTTAAACCAGCAGGCACATCTACTTCCTTTCCTTCCTCAGGTTTGGCCATGGAAAGGGGAAGAAAGATGAGAAAGAAGATGGGTGAAAAAGGGGAGCTCCTCTCTGAGGCAGCTGCTGGAAGAGACTTGGAGCACCCAAAATCTCTGATTTTGTGGGATAGGGCAGAGCTGGCTTTGCCACCATGAGATAAGTCAAGAAGGAAGAGAAGAAAGGAAGAGAAAAACTTAGCTAAGTTGGGAAGAAACCATTAGGGTTTCTTGGAGAAGAACAAACCTCAGCAACTATAAATAGGGCCTCTCCTACCCAATACAACACAACCCCACAGCCTTCAGAGAGCAAGCTTTCTCTCTCTCTCTTGCAGACCCAGCCAATTTTCGTGCTTTGCTAGCCCATTTCCCCCATCTCCCCTGCTTTGGCAAAATTGCTACAGCTCTGACAGAGTCACTGTCGAGCTGCCGGAAGCTACGAAAACCACCTAAAACTCTCTTCCTTAGAACCTCTCCTCTCTTCCATTAGAACCTCTGACCTCCATAGGAACCCACAAGCTTTCTCTTTCCAAAAGTGCTAAACCCATGATAACTTTGCTCTCATGCCACATGCCCCTCATGCTAAGCCCAAAATTTCATCTGTGAATGTGAAGAAAACAACTTCATCAGCCCAGCCCACTTGCTGCCGGAAGAAAAAGACCCCTACAACAAGTAAGTATTTTGTACATCTTTTCAATTGACTTCAATCTTCGTGGGAATGACCTCATATTTACCTTTGTTATACTAATAATAGCCTTGTTCTATTGCGAGTATATATAGTGTTTTAACCTCTATTTTGCAGGTGGCTAAAATCCTATCACTTCTTCTCTCAAAAAAACCATATTTACTTCAACTCGTTTTAGACCCCAAAAAATAAGGAAAAAAAAAACTCACTCCACCTTGCTATCCCAAAAAAGAAAGAACGACAACAAAATTCAAACGTTCTATTTTTGGCACTAAAACACTTTTCTATTAGATGAAGGCATCAAAACACACTCGAAAATCTTGAGTTCAAGATGAGCTCGGGTCGGGCCTTCATGGACTTTTTCATTTTATGGTTGAGTTGGACCGAGATTTCAAAGTGATCGGCCTAAGCCCACCCATTGGGGCTTAGCCTAAGTGGGCTTTTCAAGCCAAGCCACCCATTGCCTTTTGTTAGTATTTTATTTTATGTTTTGCCTTATTTCCATTCTAAACATTGAAGTAAATGTCTTGTCTTTTTTTACTTTAATTTATTTTTATATTACTTCATTTACTTAAGTTAACAATGTAAATAAGAAAGTACCACCCATTTAGATTCAATAAAAAAATACCAGAAAATCAAATTCCCAACAAATCAAAATATGAAAATCCAATTTAGTATAAGATACAGTTTATACCTCAATAAGTCAATGTATACTTTATATTAAAATCTCATAAAATTGTGCTTGATTATTTAAGTTGTAAGAAATATAGACCGCCCAAAATATCATTAAAAACATTAGTATTTCAAAAGTTCATTTTTCATAATTAGTCAAATTTTGAAAGAAAACTGTTTTTCAAGTATGATAAAAATAAATTAAAGTAAAAAGACAAGACATTTACTTAAATGTTTAGAATGGAAATAAGGCAATATAAGGGGAAACAAAAAACCAACAAGGCAATAAGCGGACTTACTTGGTCAATGCCAGGCTGGGTTATGGGCAAGCCTTGTTAGGCTAGGTTGAAGGCAGGCTAGAGGTTTTAAAATCTAAACCCAAGTCCTACCCAACCTTAAAACGGGCTGGACTAAATGGACCTAACCATTGAGTTGGGCCAAACCCATCGAACCTGGAGCTACCCACTTCGACCTGTGGGCCAAATAATGACCCCTAAATATATCCCTCCATATTAGGAAAGTTCTTTTGAAATTCTTTTTTTCCCTCTCATGCATGTTGGATAGGTAAAATTTTAGAGATAAATTCGAAATTCATAAATTTGAGGATTTCTAAATATCACTCATTTTGAGAAAATAAGGACTTGGAAATGAACTCTACAAAAAGATAAAAGAGGGGGATCCTTATATGAAAATTACACAACTAAACTTAACCACGAATAACAATGATATGAAAATACTTTCATATAAAGGGAGAAAGTTTAGGATTTGGTGAAATAAAACAAGGGAGATTCACTATTAAACCCAATATAAGAGCCCAAATTTATAAATAAATAAATAAATAAAAACCCTATATGAAATGGACTTTAGAAACACACTCAAAGCCCATTTACAACATAAAGGCTTTTAACTTCTTTTAAATTACAAAACTACCATTGATTTCTTAAAACAAACTCAACCCCAAAATCTCATAAAAAAACCCAAAACACTCAATAGGGTATCAAAGTAATTTAATAATCAAAATTAAATTCAATAGAGTCAACTGTCATTTTTTGAGTTTTTTTTATATAAATTAAATGATGTAGAGTTTATTTATATTATTAGTGCTAAAAATGGGTATATGACTAAATATCTCATAAAGGAAACAAACAAAATTAAGAAAAAGAAAAATACTGCAATTTACACCATAGTGGGTTGGTGAAAACAATCTTTCTTTGTTGTGCTTATTATAGCCTTTAATTTTATTTGTCTTAATTATTTGACAACCCTTTCGACACGAACACGCACATGTATGACTAAAAAGACTTCCGATTTTATATTTGAAAACATTATAAAGCATTTATAAAAGAGCAAAATGATGAATCTATCAAAGTATTATTCTAAATTTGATATTTTCATGTTCTATATATAGGGCCGAAAAAGAAATGGGAGCTTTAGTAATACACTCAAAATAGGAGCTGAAATTATTAAAAAAAACCCTACATGAAATTCAATTTAGAAACATATCCAAAAACCATTTATTACATATGAAATAAGTGTTGAAGTTACTATAAATTACATCTCTGCCATTGATTAACTTAAAACAAGCCCAACACAAAAAAACTCAAAAAAAAACCCTAAACAAGCCCAGCAAGCCCGAAATACATTGTTAATACCATGTCATAAAAATACAGTGTTAATACATGTCATAGAAGTACATTGATAATATCATTCCATAGAAGTACATTGTTAATACCATTCCACAGAAAAACATTATTAATACCATTTCATAGAAGTACATTGTTTATACTATGTCATAGAACTATCTTGTTATTACTATGTCATAGAATCATCTTGAGTCCTTTCCAAAGGCATAAACTTTCCCAACATCACTGATCAGCATTGTCCTGCTAGCCCCAGCAGCTGCTTGAACAATTTGAATGCCTTGCAGAGATCTGAAACATAACGGAGTTCCATTAACTTTTCTTTTAAGTCAACTAGTTCTCTTTTCTTTTTCTTGCAGCATTTTACATAATCAGGTCTAATGAGTGATCAAGAATTGGCAACTTGATTTGCCGAGGCCTCCTTTCCTCTTCAGTGGTGCCATGTCCAAGCTGTCCTGAGTTGTTAGAGCCAAACGAATAGACAGCTCCTTTTGAAGTTACAGTAATGCTGTGACCCAGCCCTACTATTGCCTGTGATTTCTCTCTCCAGCCAACAAGAACTTCAAGACCAGTTTTCATGAAACCCCCACATCTTTGCTTCAATTCTTGACGTTTCTCCACTGTCATTGGCTTAAATATACCACTCTTTTGGCACATGTCCAGAGCGGCAAGCTCTGATATGGACAATTCAAAGTCAGGAGCAAAGTTTGCAGACTGTCAGAAAAATGAGCATGTTGCCTGCAACACACACATCCAAAATCAAACCAGCAACATTATCAATTCTAAGATTTAAAACACCAATGCATTACCAAACTTTAGAGCAACAACAACTACAAACCTACAAATTAAAAAAAAAACCTTAAAAAAAACTCTTTATATATATGACAGCAACTACAAGAACCAATAATGCAACAAGTTATGTCCAATCAACATGTCATAAGAACAGAACAGAAGGCATGTACTGGACTTGAGGTTTCAAAATCGTTTACAACAAAAGACCAAACATCTGCAAAATTAGAAACCAGAGAAATTCACAACCCGACCATTTTGATCATAGTTCAACCAAAGCCAAAACTGTAAATTTTCAGACTATCCAAATGAAAAGGGGTTAATAAAGAAACCCAAAACCTTTAAACAATTATAATTAAAAATAAAATAAAAAACTTGAGGTAGACTGAAAGATGGAAAACTTTGAGAAGTAGAATACTAGTAATAACAAGATACCTCTACAAGAAAAGAAAAAAAAGTACACTGTTAATACTACATCATAGAAGTACACTGTTAGTACTATGTCATAGAACCATCTTTCTAGTAAAAATCACATTTTGCATATCATAAACTTCAAGTGCACAGCTATAGATAGAGCAAAATATAGAGCATGCTTTGTTACTGAAAATATGTTAATACTATGTCATAGAAGTACACTGTTAATACTATGTCATAGAAGTACACTATTAATACTATGTCATAGAACTAAATTCAGTTGCAGGGTATGAACAGTATAACAACTATTCATACCACTTACTGGAAGTTAACAACTACATCATTTCATTTACATAATAGGTAGGATCAAAGTGTACAACTCCATACCATTCAAAATCAATACACAAACAAGAAGAAGAAGTTGCATTTGAATCAACAAACAAACCCTAGAAAGCATTGAGTTGTAAGCAACCTCAAAATGTTTGTACCTCAACAAAATCACACCATTGATTCAGCAACCGAAACCTCCCAGCTAATACTAACCTCCATGCAGTAATCCCTTATTTACAGCTGCAAATAATTCAAGAAAACAAAGAAAGGTAAAGGAGGTTTCATAGGGCTATTCTAGGGAATGAACAGAAACGGCTAAGAATTATTATAATGAGTTTTATAAAGCAAGAAAACTCACTGATATTCTTCTGACCATTTTCACGGCACATAAAGAAAACAAAATCATAGAAGTGCGAGAATTCAGAAAAGTCTACCCGCAAAGGGAGGATTTTTCTTTTGTTAATGGAACGCTAAGGTATGAACCACAATTTGGCAATAGCATATAAAGCACTCCTTTTTTTTTCATGAAGAATTAGACACCACTCATCAATTAACAATAATCTACTTTAAAAACTTCGATGAGTAAATCTTACCACCAAGTCTAACCGTGACATTAGCTTGAAAACTTCATAAAAAATTGATATCCTGTCAAAGCGGACACTCTACTTTATAAAAATCTGAAATAAAAGGGGAAACAAAATGCTCAAATGCTAAAATTAAGTGCCAGAATGTTACTTAAAATTTGAAATAAGGTTCTACAGCATGATACAGGATGACCAAATCCTAAGGGTGCTCCAAATCATGTTCTGCTGAATAACTGTAGCTTGTATATAGAGATTTATACCTAGGATGTAGTTTCAACTGCACCAGATTTAAAAGCTGAATTAATGCATCCCTTGAATATTTAGTCATCTTTGATTCATTGTTTCCTCTGTAATCATCCCCATGACCGTATCCATTTACTGTCCTGACATCTGCCATTTAACAGTCAGAATTACTACTCTAGACTCATTAATAATCCAAATTGAAACTTTTAAAATGACTGGTCATAAGTTACATAACAAACAACTCATATCTGATTAACGAAAAGAAAGCTTTTCTTCCTGCGTGCAGGTAGAGTGTATATATATATAGCAGCAAAACCAGGCTAGATAACTTATAGGTCTCAACCCACTGAAAAAGGAATTTTAACAAGTAAACAACATTATTATCCTTCTGTAATAGCAAAAGCAGTGGTAAGACTGAAACAAAAATTGCTAACTAACAGTAGCTTAGCATGTACATCATACAAACAGTAAATGTTTATGCAAATGCTCAACCATTCTGCTAAATACTAAAAACACAGTACCAGCATTACAAATTGTATTAGAACTAACACAAATAAGCAAGCATGTAATTTTCAGATTTTTTTTTTATCAATTTATTTATCGCAATTTGTAAACGAAATGCAAAACTAAGGAAAAAAACCGTAGACATATTCAAATTAATCACAAAATCGCAAAGAAACTGCTCAACAAGCTTCGAATTTCGGCGATAATCAAACCGATCATACCAATATGATTCGGCTGACCTTGAAATGATATCTTCGTTCTTCTTAAGCTCATCCTTGTGAGCGTTCTCTCAGATCTGGTGCAGTTGTTGCTTCGATTCAGCTGCATCAAAATGGATTCAGCTGCATCCTTAACTTGTGATACTCGCAAGTGCACGAGCCGTTTGGTAGTATAGCATATGTAAGTGCGCGAAAGCCTGAAAAAATGACGCCGTTGAGGCCACTTGAGGATTGACAATTCGAAATGGAGAAGAGAAATTGAAAGTGAAAGAAGCGATGAGGAAGATGACGAACCTAAGTCTTGTAAGAAGAACCAATAAGAGCGTTGCCTAGAGCACGGAAAGGATTGGCGGAAGAAGATGAGCCTGGAACCGCACAAGCTGCTCCACGAGTCATGAGCTTATGCATCGCCATTGTCGATGCTCTTCTTCTTCTTCTTATTCCTCTTCAATCTACAACATAATTGTTATTAAATAAAAGATTATAAAATAATAATAAAAAATAAGTCGGATGTTTCTCAAAATTGCACCAAAAAGGGCAAAACCGTAATATAATATAACTGTTTAATTGAAAAAATCAGCAGCTGTTGATTTTTGGGTTTATTTTGGGTGTGTTTAAACTTTATATACATTAAATAGTATAGGATTTATTTATAATTTTATGTCTAGAAATGGGTATTTAACTAATTTTTTAAAAGAAATCTCGTTTAAAGTGGTTTAGGTTCCCCCTAACACATAGCACCTCCTACCAATACAAATCTTGCAATCGCGTGTACTTGTTAATTTGCCAATAAAATATGACACTGTTATTTTCTTAACTTGTGAAAAAAGTGTGACATACCAAAAGAGAGAAGAAGAAGAATGTCAACAAAGTGCATTAAAAAAAGACTTAAAACGTAGCAATATTTTCCTTTTTGCCCTTTTTAAACTTTCAAAGAACACCCAACCCAATGGCCAATTTCGTGGTCCAATAAATCCCTCAAATTCCTTAAAGCATCTTTTACCCGGATGATCCGTATCCACTTTTGCAGCCCATCACCCACAAGCAACTGCTCTCAGCCTCTGGTTTGGTCTGAGTGAAACTGAAACATCAAGCTCACCCTTCACTTGGAAGGATGAAACCAATAATTGGAGAATCAGGTAACTTTAGATATGCAAAATTTCCAAAAATATATTATTATTATTTTTAAACCCAGATATGCAAGATTATGATGCATGTGGTTAATTATCTGGCCTTACTTATATTTAAAATTTGTACATGAAAATAACCAATAATGTAATGGGTGTGCCATAACGTGCCCTACAAATTGGGGCATCAATCATGTATGGAGATGATGAGATCAAGGGTCCCCTACAAATTATAAGATACCAAATGGACAAGTCGGAACAAATCAGATGGTGGTGAGGAATATCTTGATTGGTTCCCATGCTCCTTAAAACTCTCTATAAAAATTACGAACTTTACAAGTTCAATGTTGTGCTCTGAATTTTCTCTTCCTCCCTCCCTTGTGCACAATTTCAATGGCTATTGGTCATCATGTTTGCTTGTGTTTTTGGCTTGCCATTGCAATTATCTCCACCACTTTGGCTCAACCCAACAATTATATCATCCACATGGACTCAACCATGATGCCAAAAGCCTTTGCTGATCACCATTCATGGTACTTAGCCACAGTAAACTCTGCACTGAGCAAGTTTAGGCCAAACACCACCACAACCTCCTCTTCTTCTGCCCTCTCTTCTAAACTTATTTACAGTTATACTCATGTCATAAATGGGTTCAGTGCAAGTCTCTCTCTTTCTGAGCTTGAGGCCTTAAAAACCTCTCCAGGCTACATTTCTTCAGTCAAAGACTTGCCAGTAAAACCAGACACAACTCACTCCTCTCAGTTTCTTGGCCTCAGTTCCAAATCTGGAGCTTGGCCGGTTGCAGATTATGGCAAAGATGTCATAATTGGATTGGTGGACACTGGAGTTTGGCCAGAAAGTGAGAGCTTTAGTGACAATGGAATGTCAGAAATCCCACCAAGATGGAAAGGTCAATGCGAGAGCGGCACCCAATTCAACTCTTCTTTGTGCAACAAAAAGTTGATTGGGGCAAGGTTCTTTAACAAGGGGCTCATTGCCCAAAACCCCAACTTGACCTTTTCTGTGAATTCAACAAGGGACACAGATGGGCATGGGACCCACACCTCATCCACAGCAGCTGGAAATTATGCGCCCGGGGCATCGTATTTTGGTTATGCCCCGGGCACAGCTAGTGGCATGGCTCCGAAGGCTCACGTGGCCATGTACAAGGCTCTTTGGGAAGAGGGCGCTTTGTCTTCTGATATAATTGCTGCCATTGAGCAAGCGATTATAGACGGTGTGGATGTTTTGTCCTTGTCATTTGGGCTTGATGGGGTTGCTTTGTATGAGGACCCTGTTGCCATAGCCACATTTTCAGCCTTGGAGAAAGGTGTCTTTGTGTCCACATCTGCAGGAAATGAGGGCCCTTTCTTTGGCAAATTGCACAATGGCATCCCATGGGTTCTCACCGTTGCCGCCGCCACAATCGACCGTGATTTTGAAGGAACTGCGCATTTTGGCAACGGAGGCTCCGTCACGGGGTCTACTCTTTTTCCGGGGAATTCATCTTCAACCCAATTCCCAATTGTTTTCCTTGATGCATGTGACAGTTTGAAAAAATTGAAACAGGTGGGGAAGAAGATAGTTGTGTGCCAGGACAGAAATGATTCGTTAGACGAACAAGTTTATAATGTTTACAACGCAACTGTTGCCGGAGGCCTTTTTATTACCAACAACACTGACTTGGAGCTGTTCCTCCAAAGCCCATTTCCCACAATCTTTCTCAGTCCAAAGGAAGGCGAAGCGATCAAATATTACATCAACAGCAACTCTCAGCCAACAGCAAGCTTGGAATTTCAAAAGACACTTCTTGGTGCCAAACCAGCACCGGTTACAACAAGCTACACCTCTAGAGGGCCATCCCCCAGCTTCCCATTTACCCTGAAGCCAGACATTCTGGCTCCAGGGTCATTAATCCTAGCTGCATGGCCTCAAAATAACCCGATAGCCGTGGTGAACGAAAAATACTTGTTTGGTAATTTTAATCTATTGTCAGGGACATCCATGGCGTGCCCTCATGCAGCCGGTCTAGCCGCTCTTCTAAAAGCTGCATATCCCAAATGGAGCCCTGCTGCTATTAGATCGGCCATGATGACGACATCAGACACATTGGATAACACTCTCAGCCCCATTAAAGACATTGGTGATGGTTACCAGCCAGCCAGTCCTCTAGCCATGGGAGCAGGTCATGTCAATCCCAACAAAGCCCTCGACCCGGGGCTCATATACGACGCGGACATAGAAGATTACATAAATCTCCTTTGTGCACTGAACTACACCAACAAGCAAATCCAAACCATCACCAAATCAGCCTCGAACAATTGCACAACTCCTTCATTGGATCTTAACTATCCTTCTTTCATTGCATTCTTCAACGCAAACGATTCGAAGCCGGATGTACAAACCACTCAAGAATTCCGGAGGACAGTGACCTACATAGGAAAGGGACAGTCGACCTACGTTGCAAGCGTTACACCCTTAAAAGGGTTTGAGGTTGGAGTGGTTCCAAACACATTGAAGTTCAAGGAGGAGGGTGAGAAGCTGAGCTTTGTGCTGAGTATAAATGGTCCAAGACGAACGAAGGAGACTGTGGCTTTTGGCTATCTAACTTGGGCGGAGAGTGGAGGTGAACATGTGGTGAGAAGCCCCGTCGTGGCCACAAACCTCAGCTCAGATACGGTGTCGCAGCAGAGCTAACTTGCCTGCTCTAGCAAGCATTGGATCCTTCCCCTTTGCTATAAATAAATTAAAGTTTATAGTTTTTATAATTCACATTAGGATCAGGCTAATAGCAGGGTTGGTGTTGTTGTTACTTAAATTAAAGCTGGCAGCTAGCAGTTTAAGATTGTTGGGAAAGGTTCTGTGTGGTTGTTAGTCGATGGTAAGCAGCTTTGTTTAATCATATATGATTAACGTACCATATTGGAACTTGGAAGACATTATTTAGAGATTGTCATATTGATAAAAATAAAAATAAACAGCTCAACTTTATTTGTTTATTTTGGCCCGACACACTATTTAAATAATTAATCATCTAAAAATTAACGTGAATATGTAATACTTAAACCCTGATGACCTTATCCACCTCAGGACTTGGACAAAAAGTAGTCTTCTTTTATATAGTTCAACAATTATTATCAGTCACCAAATCAAAGACTAGTTAGTTAGTAAAAGCATGCATAAGTAGTATTATAGTCCATCACATCCCTATCGATCTCTACCATTAAAATCGGTGTTTCATGAGCTTCTAGTAGTGTTTACTAGGAATTAAAAAAAATCGCGATCGATGAAAGTGAAATACTACTAAACCAAAGACTAGTTAGTTAGTAAAAGCATGCATAAGTGTGTATAAATATGTGAAGCTGCTTTTAGCCAACAGGCAGAAGGATAATGTTGGATTGGAAGTGGGTGAAGAATAGAACATCTTTTTAACATCAGAACTTTTTTATTTGAAATGACATGAAAATCATTGTGACACCCTTGTATTTTTTCTGGATAACATTTTACTTTGGGTAGATTTTTTTTAACCCCTTTTTTTCCTGTCTAAAGTTGGGGTAATTTTCAGCCAGGCGGAATATATAAGTCGTCTGTCATATTAAGTCCTGCCTGGGAAATGACCTTTTTTAACTTTTCTTTTTTCAGGGTATTTGTGTTTCACAGAACACCAGCAATTGGAGTTGGAACTTGAAGCAGAGAAAGGGTATTTGTGTTTCACAGAACACCAGCAAAAAAGAATCAGAAAAGATGGGAATGAGAAAGTGACAAGACCCATTAGCAACAAGCAAACTCACATGGGTTGGGAGTGGGGATTGTCCCAATTGATCTTCATATAAATGAAACTGAAAATATAGCCATGCATTTTGCAAACCGGTGGCGAGTCAATTTTCAATCATCTGCATCAAATATTTAAAAGGGTTGTTCATTCCTTTTTTCTTTTTGGAACTTGCCAGGCAC